TAGTTGTGACAGAAAAGATTTGACATGAAACATGTATTTCGAGAAAAGAAACTGCGGAACAATGAAATGAAAAAAAGTTATAGATGATTTATGAGCTTATAATCTACGATTTTGAGCTGTCACCCAAAGTCATTAGACACTGGTTACGATGATCACATTGGATTTAACCAGATATTTTGAATCTACTTACTGAAACCAGTCTAAAAATATCTATATGAAATGATTACATATTTTTGCTTGAGAGCCCCTAGCTTTCTTTCAACCTAGTCTTAAATCAGAAATCATAGTGATGATATATTTGAGGAATGGATAAACACATGTACGAACCATTCCGGTGGTTAAACATACGCATCAGTTAATGTAATGTCTTTTCTAATACACTAAGTTCAACCTTTAAATTACTAGCTCGATGGTACCAAACTACACGAGTAGTGCTCTGAAGGCAAATATGACTGAGTACTAATAACCTAGTCATAATCTGTTTTAAGGTCTAGGTCTCATAGAGAACTTCTGAGTAGTTAAATCGTCCATTGGTTGGGAGAAGAACATCTGACCTACGCCATAAGTGACGATACAAATATCTAATCAGACACTAGCCCTTCATAGTTAACTAAGCTTCTACAGACAGACACGTTCAACTGTCCCACTCCCTATTATTAAATCAATTACTGGTGCATACCAGTTTTGGAACATTTTACATTAACGCAAGAAACGCATCTCAAATATACTAGCATAGTAGCCTAATGTGTTTAGAAGGCTGTTTTGTTAACACCTTAGCTAAACAGGACTATAATCTGAACATTATGATATGAAAAGAGAAGAAATTAACTGGCTCATTCACTGGGCTTTAAGTCAAACTTGTTGTACTGCAGATATTTGTCAACACCAACTAGAAGAGAAGTAGGTATTCTAAGCATGTGAGCCAATGATTGAGTAACTAATGCCTACGTGGTAGAGTGGTGACACCATGAACAATAGTTACAGTTGCTGTTATTAAGAAATTAGTTTACTACAGGGCTCCAAACCAGAATCCAAATAATCTATAAGTGGTAGTTACAGTTATATTCAAATAGACCAACAAAATCAGATTAGTCGACAACGAATTCATAGAACTATAAAGGGAAAACTGTATCATAGTGAATGATTCGAGTAAACCGAACTACACAAAAAAAACATGAAACAAAACAATCAAATTCGTACAGATAAATCATTTCCTTCAACGGTACCGGTTTTAGTTTCTGATTCAAAACGATCCAAGTAAATGCTTGAAATAAGGTTCCATGTGTTCCTCTCAAGATTGATCATTTCTGTGATGCTACGAATATTAGGTAATCTTGTAGAATGATAATCATGTAAATTTGAATGGATCTTACCCTTTACGATGAGACTTTTCAGTGAAAATTTTGGGTAGTCTTTGAACAATTTTATGGCACGCATTACCATACTGAACAGGAATCTCAGATAAAGAGGTTTGTGAATTTTTCCAAAGACTACAGAAATGAGAGAATAGGCTTGATCCATCTAAAAGTAATCTGTGTAAAAGCTACAAGAGGATTTGTTATCTACCGAATATTTCCGGATTCTCATCTATCAAGTGAGTAATATTATTACTCTTCTGAAAATTACTATTCATCTACAAATCGCAACCAGTAAATTGATCATCATGAGAAAACCTACCTCAGACCAGGAATTGAGCATATCAACTTCAGTCATTTTATACAACTACATGATATCAATGACAAAAAAAATGTTTTACAAAAATTGACAACAATGGATTACACTGTATTAGATCGTACTAAGAGTATTAGAAAATGAGTACTAACAGAACTGGACAAGTAGGCGGTAGACAGCACAAACGCAACCCTGTATGAAAATGTTTAGATTACATTCTCATAATTAGGTAGCACAAAGTTATTTTATAACATCCGTAAGCTACGTTCAGAACTATATCTGAATTATCAGCATTTGATTGGAGCCAAATATCGCTGAATAGTAATCAAGTAACTAACTGCCATAAATTCGTAACCTATAAGCTTTTCTATCTAAAGCGCTATGTTTGTCGACAGATTTTGTCACATATACGTTCTAGATTTACTTAGGGCTTGTTACTTTGATGGTCTACACCGAATAGCTTTTGTAGTAAACCCTACAGAAGTCACCTTTTGATGACAACCTTTTTTTTAGATGATGGCAAAAGAGAATGTCAATCTCCCAACCATGGATGAAACTTTGAGGGCAGCCCTGAAATTTTACTGAAACCGGGTGAAAAGGTTTTAATGACAAAAACGTGAACAATAATTTGTTGGTTCACAAACCTAAGATGGCTTACTCGGACTGGATAAGATTGTAACCACTCAGGATCAAGGTTCCCGCACTAGACTAAGTAGTCCTCACCACATACGTCCTTGACGTTTCAAATAGGAACGCAGCTTCATATGCTAATTTATATTTATTTTGTGTACAATACATATTACATTTTCATTCGTCATAACCCACATAATTTGTGCAATGATTGTTATAGAATGTATGATGTTGTTTAAGAAAATTCACAATTTCATGTACATTTTTTCTTATTACATAGTTTAAGATGCTTACCATATTCTTCACCTCTTTTTCCCGCATAAGCCTCTATCATGTATAAGGTTTTTATTATTATACCTAAACGCGGGCTGTTTTTTATCTCTACCCATCGAAGTGGATCCGGTGTCTAGGATTTATCAGTCAAATACAATTGCACAGCTTTTTCTGGCTCCGGGAACCTAAAGAATAACAATGTCCTGCGAACTATATCACTTTATCTGTTACTTCGGTTGAACGTCGAAGATTATCAAATCATCTTCCTCCAGCATACGCTACAGTATCGGTTTAGGACATGAGAACAACGCATTCTATAAATTTTTCGTTTAGAAATTGTTGTCCCCCAGCTTATACTTTCTTGATATATTTGTTATACACCCTCTGTTAAACTCAACTCAGAGTGAGGGCTTGTAGAATAAGTATAGTTTACAACCTATAAAGACAGATGACGAAATCTAAGCTCCTCCTACTTCATATTTGCATACCATAATAACACGTGAAATAAACCATCTATTTTTATCAGACGGACGAAACATTCGTGGGTTTGTCCATAGTGGAACGCTGTAAGCTAGGTCACTATGTAAGATCCATTTCTGATGGCTATATTTGTGAAAATCCCTCCATGTATACATTCGTAATTTGTTCTCATTGATTCCTTCAGTTGCGCATATTTTTAGTTTGTTCGATTCCATTTTAGATTATAATATTTGTATTTTATTATACTTTCTACTCTCGACTGCTATTGATTTGTATAATTGAGCAATCTTTGGTCGAATAACTGAGTGGTTATTTTTGTTTAGGTAATGATGTACATTTATTTTTACGATGAATATTAAAATTGTTATTTAACCAAATCACTTGTTTTGGATTTAAGCTGGGCAAGACGCGTGTCTAAACTACCTAGATAGTTATTCCTCAGTCCAAACCTCAGTTTGGATCTTGCAGTTTTAAACAGAACCAATAGATCGGAATCTTTTTGACTAACGTTTCGTGGATTTCAGTCATCGGAATATAACACCTCTTGCGCCTGTTTTAGGTCTAGAACTACCAAAGGAAAGGAATCTCATGGACCCAGGATCATTATTGCATCCATCAAAACAAAGAAAGAGGACATTACAATGAACGTCATCCAATTCTAAGCACCTACCAACGACTACAATGACTACGTTAAAGATCAGTTCTACGAAAGGCTGCAGTCAATCGTCGACAGATGTTCACCAATGGAATCGACCATTCAGATGGGAGGCCTAAATGCCAAGGTTGGAATGGACAACACTGGATATGAAGACATCATGGGACGACATGAACTGGGAAAAAGGAGCGAAAATGGTGAGAGATTTGCAACCCTGTATGCCTTCAAGAAACTGGTCATCGGTGGCACAACATTCTCACACAAACGCATGCACAAAGCTACATGGATTTCACCGGATCACATTGCTCAGAACCATATCGACTATATCTGTAACCATAAAAAGTTCAGAAGGACTATGGAGGATGGGAGAACCAAAAGAGGAGCCGACACGGCCTCAGATCACCACTTGCTGGTTGTCAAAATGAAACTGGAACTAAAGGAGCACTGGAAAACGGGGCAGACAACATCAAACAAGTTTAATACAGCCTTTCTGCAGGATGCCGTAAAACTCAAAGAATTCAAGATAGCCCTAAGCAATAAGTTCCAGTGCTTGCAGAATCCACTCGATAAAGAGGAAACAACCATGGAGAACAATTAAGAAGGGATCAAAGAGGCAATCATTTCAACATACCATGAGCTCCTGGGTCACAAGAAGCACCATCACAAGGATTGGATGTCCGTTGGTACTCTTTCTAAAATTGAAGAAAGGAGGAACAAGAAGGCAGCAATTAATGTCAGCCGAACAAGAGCAGAGAAAGTTAAGGCACAAGCTGCATACACAGAAGCAAACAGGGAAGCGAAGAAGAGCATCGAAGCTGACAAACGAAAATATGTGGAAGATCTAGCAATGACGGTGGAAAAGGTTGAAAGAGAAGAAATCAGTCGAACGATACAAAGAAGAATCTCGTTGGAAACTGTCGTAAACCAGCACGACCATTGAAAAGCTAGGAAGGCAAAGTAATCAACAGCGTTGACGAATGGCGAAATGGGTGGGTAGAACACTGGCAACTTTTGAATCGACCAGCTCCATTAAACCCACCCGACATCGAAACATCATTCTAATAATAATAATAATAATAATTTATTCTCAAATAACAATCATGTTACAAGAGACATGCCAATTTACAGGCAAGATCAAAATGTTAAGATCAGAAACATATTTCTTTTTTAAAACGGTATACAGTTACTGAAACATTTCACAAGATTCATTGTTTTCTTAAAGATGGAATGTACAAAGCGAATAATTGGCGCAAGTTACGAAGGTTGCGTTACGACAATCATCTTATGGGCTGAGAAATGATTCATGGTACAGACAGGTTTTCATATAACAAGAATTGATGCGGTAAATGTACAAAGGTCTGGTTGATATTCGTCAGCTAATGATTTCACATGTTCTTGGGTAGGGTAACCAAGTCTACTGCAAATATCCAGACTAATATATGTGGATTGGAATAAGGTTCTGAAAAAAGAGGAATAAAGAAAACGGGACGAGGAGCAAAACAGAAAATATTCATGTTCAAAGCCGAACAACGGCTTCGCACATACGTTTATGGATAAAAAAAGATATGTTTACCCAAACATTTTTAATAGCAGAACACTTTACACCTGCGCTTATGTAGGTTAATGAAGACACTTCAGTAGTGAGATAACTAATGAGAAGTTAGTCGAAAGAATCGAGGAAATTCAGAAGAACCAAGTTGTTAGTAATAAAGTTGATTTACAAAATATAATAAAGAGGATCAGTGATATAATTTTTTGGTTTTATTTATTCTTTTTATTTTTAACTCTGAGGCTCAAGAAGTTATGAATGAGCTCTTTTTTAGTATAGTTGTCCAGACCAGCTTGTAATAGGATTTCTCGGTAGGAAGTAAAAACCAGTGCAAGGTTACAGACATGGGTTGTAGACGAGGTTAACTAGGAAAAGTAACATCAATATCACTGATTTGTTACATCCTGCTATCTCGTAAGGAGCCGTAAGCAAACAAAATGTTCTGCCACACAGACATGGGTAGATTGAGTTTATCGCCCCACCGTCATGAATGCTGGTCAGATACACCACCCTCCCTCCTTTTGTGATGTTAGGCTCTCTTACGTTTAATGGTTAATTGTAAATAATGGTCTCTAGTCTACTCTCAATTTTTTTTGTTGTACACCTTATCGGAATTAACATTCTCTACTAGCTCCAACATTACAAGCAATCCAGACAACTTAGCCAGATAATATATCCACATAGCATATCACACTGATTTTAAGTAAACGAATGTTATGATTTGTAAGATGAGTCAGTTAATGGGTAGTTTGGAAATAGGAAGGACAGGGAGCTGAAACGAGGAGAAAGAGAAAAAAAAGAGTTGAAATAATGTTAAAAATTAATGAGTAAAGCGATAAGTTGGTAAGCAGGCAAGGTGTTTGCATGTTAATGAATTGGGGAAATAAAAATTAGTTAAACTGTTAGTACTTAAATAAGAAGATACTCACAATGATACACGGTGTTTGAGTTCCTTGTAATTGACAGTAGTTGAACAGCATCTACAGGCTTTTCAATTTGTCTGTCTACTAGAAATAAAAACTAAAACTGCTTTGAAGATATGAAAATAATAATCTGAATTTAAATTCAGAGAAAAGTCACGGGTAACACTTCAAAGGCGTAACCTATTACTGTTAGTAGGAGCAGGGGGATTCGTCTATCATTTCATGATACATGTATGGGTGGTAATGAGAACACAATGTGTTCATAGTCTATAATTCGTTTCCGAGGTTCATCTAAATATTTGGTGGACCATAAAAGAGTGCCTGGGGACTTTGTGTGAGTTCCGGGAATAGTCGATATATCTCTTTAGAGTCTAGCAACAGCCTCCCAATCGATGTTGGCTCAACAACAGTTTAAGAGATCAATATTGCCATCACACTAATCAAGAGCGGCCAAGCAGCGGGACTAGACAATATTCCAGCAGTGGCATAGAAAGCAGACGTAGCAGCTACCTAGAGAGGCATCACTGTTCTC